GGTTGTCACAAACTCGATATAATATTTACAAATTACACACCCACGCACACAAAATTCAAAACCTGTCTATGTTATGGCCACATCTCTATGAATTTGAAAAACAAAAGAAGGGCTTAACCTTGTGACATTCACATAATCTTGAGGTGTGTGATTCGATATCCCAGGGAGTATAATCCCCAAAGCCCTAGCAAGTTTCAACAACCATCCTTCTTTAAACTCTGACCCTTTCTCACTTGTAATCGTGAAACTTCTTATAAACTCTAACACCGCATTGTACATCCTCTTTATAATCCCCCACAATGAGAAATAGTTCTCGTCCGATTCATCTCTCAAAACCTACAAAACATTGTTTATAAAAAATAAATCAGTGACATGTAATATTTATACTTTTGCTACGATTAAAATAAAACGATGACTTAATAAGATACCTTTGGTTGATAGTTTCGGTCGTAGTAGATGCAAGTACCGAAGTGTTTGAACATCAAATCTTTATCATCGTACGGTAATCTTGGAACAATGTCGTTATTATAAACAAATCTATAGTACTTTACATCATTTTCTTCTAATTTCTTCTCCATAAATTCACCAAACGTTGAATCTCCAACCCTAGGTTGTCCATAAGTATAAACACCTTGAAGCCTCTCCAACAACTCGGTCTCATCATGCATCACGAGCACAGCCGCGAACAATATCGCGAGAGCTCCTCCTAAGCTATGACCAGTCAAAACAAATTTAGTATCTTTGTCCTGAGCTATCAAAGCTTTCAAGGAATCTCTTATTGAGTAGTAAGCTAGAGGGGACAATCGGTTAGGGTTTGGGATAGGCTTCTTTGGCCAGCTGCAATTGTTTTGAAGCCCTAGAGCTTTCATGAAACCACCATGGATCCTCCCAATGTTTGGGAGCTCGTACCATGTAATGTCGAAATCTGAACACCAATCTTCTGAGTTAAATGGCTCTGTGCCTCTAAACGCAACCACAGCCGTTTTCTCTTGATCAGTAGACATCATAAAAGCTTGTGTTGTTTCCTTTTCTTGATACTCTAAAAAAAATAAAACACCAACACATTATATAATTGATTAATTAATGTGTATAAGTTATTTGATTTCAATGAATGCATACCGTTCCAATAATCAACGAGGCCTAAGTACTTCATATTCCAGTGGCTTTCGACGACATATCTAATACGAGCCGAGTTTTCATAGGCCAGCTTTGAAGACATAATGGACAATGCAGCGTAGTATAAATCTTCATCTTCACAAGTTTTCGTCTTGTCTAAACTTATTCTCCTATCTAAATGTCCAATAAATGATAGGTAATTCTCGGACGTGGTTTTCGGCATCACCACTTCTCCTGCATATATTTTATAAAAAAAATATAAATACATATGTAGATTCCCACATTTGAAAGAAAAATGGAACACTATAGTATTATATATAGAGGACATCAATCCATTTACTTGTTACAAAATGTGTTGCTCATCAGAAATATTTATGTATAATTTATCTATAAAAACAAATGAAGTTAATTATAGTTAAGACCTCGGAGGAAGAAACCGTAGAAAGAGTTGTCGGAGATGAAGTTTAAGGAGAACTCTAAGGCGGAGCCAAAGAGAGCTAAAGGCTCTGAGAGGAACTGAAGAAGCTTAAGGAGGACAAGAGAGACGAAGATAAGCCATCGACGTCTGAAACTTGGTTCTTTGGTTTCAGAGCTATTGACTAATCTCCGCTTCTCAATATCGTTGGAGAATAACAGACGGAGAAGTTCTAATGGCCTAAGCTCTTCTGGTCTAAGAATGAGATATCCTCTAGGAAACCCTTCGTCTTCGTCGCTGCTGATCATGTTGATTTAAATCGTGTGTGAGTAGTATTGTAATGTAAATGCGATTAGATATGTAACGTATAAATCTATATTATATCTATATATATATGTGTGTGTGGTGTTTGTAATGAGGATTAGAATGGATAGTATTGTAGCTTTGGAATACTTGGAGTTGTGGGAAAACTAGATTTGCATTTATTTTCTTTTGTAAAGGTAATCTATACATTTGGTTTTGGAATATAAATTGTTTCACGTGGGGGTTGATAATCGTTATTATGAATGAAAATGAGGAAACTTCCCTAACGCATTTTAGATTCTTCTTTAACAAAAAACTAACTGTAACCATACAGGTATTAAGTATAATACTACGTAGAGAATGCAACCGAAAATACTTTTTTCTTATAAACACATGGACCGTGAATAGAAACTACGTACGAGACACATTGAAGAATACATTATTGGCAGAAAAATACATTGAAGATTATATAGCGCGATCTTCAACCCAGTCGTCATATCCGTGGTATCTTCATTTTCCAAAACATTAGCTCCTCTGTACAACCAAATTAGGTCCACAATTAACACGTAATAGCTAAACAAATAATATATGTAAGATAATGAAACTCGAAACAAAAGGTATCTAATTGTATAATTAAGACATCAACTGTAATCTTTTCGTTTAAGCTATTTCTAAAATAGCATATTGTTACTGCACTTCGATTATTAAATAGAACAGTAACTGTACAACCCTAACAAATATATATAACCAGAAATTATTACGAAGAATTATGTGTAGTATAAACATATGTTTATCATTAGAATAGATATATTTATCTTATATCCTATTTTGTTTTTCATATGTCATGTGAGGTGCACCGGCAAAAAGGAGTCGAATACATTTAACATACTACAAAGAGACGTAGGTTCACGGGAGTCAAAGAATGCACCAATATACCAAAATCAACAAACCAAAAATAATAATAATACAAAGATGAACAAGAAAACTATATAAAACGAATTGAATGAAATCGTATCCGCATTCCCATCACCTACCCATTTTTAAAGCATACTATTATATAAAATCTAATAGTTTTCAACCCACCTATTTGCTTGTCCCCATTCTTTCCCCCAACTTTACTCTCTTTTTTTTTTTTTTTTTTTGAAAATTACTTAATAAGTACATCACATTTTCGTTTTTGGATGTTCCTACCAGTCTTCTGCGTTCTAGATTTTGACTATTGCATCTCGACACATTTATTAAACTACACCAAATCGTGTAAATTTAGCTGATAAAGAAGAAGGAAAATGCATTGAAGAAAAGTTAACAAAAAAGAAATCTCAAATTTTCCTTAAATTCCAAAGAGAAAACAAAAAAAATTAATAGAAGGTAAGATGATAGAAAATGTGTCAGAAGAATTCAGAGCACTTGCCCAAGAAGATATTGTAAAATGTCTATATAATTCTAATCTCAAAGGATATTGTAATGATCAGAGACTATGTGGTGATGTTGGGACCTTTGTGGGATATCTCACGTGGGACAATCTTTCTTTTTCTTTTACATCAATAACCAAACAACGAAAATGTCCTCGGAGTTAACAGGTTAGTTGTTTACTAGATTGTGTGAAAATATTTGGATTGATTGATATTTAATCATTAATATAAATTGGATTGTTAGTGGAGCAAGGGGCATAAATGATGCCTGGGACATGAACACGATTGTATTGATATCCTGCCTTGGGAGGCAAACTAACTCAGTTTTCGTATGTTTTAAATAAACAAATACGATAATTTTTGTTTGTTTCCTATATTTAAATATGCTATTGTAATATATAATTACCAATCAAAAGAAAGGAAAAATAATATACATATGGGTATCAAGATTATACGGTTGATATAAATTTTTCTTATAGAGGATAAAACTTATGCAGAGAAAAAATAAATATGACTTTTCTCTTTTGCCATTTGCAGATTGGTAATTTAATTATATATCCTCCTCTTTTGGAATGATATCGGCTCCTCAGATGAGGCAGATGATGATTCTTATTTTTTTCAATTTATCATAAATGAAATTGCTTGATTCATAAGCAATAAAAACAAAGACTTGTAATATTCATAGTCGACAAAAAAAAAAGACTTGAAATTTTCATATAAACTGAAAGCATGCTAGAAAGGAAAGTCAGTGGCGGTAGGCAACACAATTAACTAAATAAAATATGCGTTTCTGAAACAAAAGAAAGGGTAAATAAATAAAAAGATTCAAGTTGTTCCCTGATTGGTATTGAGAACCGTGCCATACGCTAAGGCTCAATGTCTATATTGCAATCCGATTAAATCATCATCCATTATGTAGTACTAGTAAGTAGTTACAAAATATTTACCATAATACTATATATAAAAGTTCAAACAAAAAAAACAAAATTCTATATCGTTTTCATCCATGCACGAGGTGGTATACATACTAATACTAATACTAATATACTATGTTACTATGCAAACCATTTTCGTTGCAAGTATATATGAATGTATTAATTTATATTTAAAAATTTACTAAATAATATAGTACTGTTTGACATATCTCCCGTGGATAGTTGGATGTGGGGTAACATTGGTAGATAACGGAATTCCAGTTTGCTGTACTAGTTGGAGCTGGTTCATGCACCTTGTTGGTTTGTGGCGTAACTAAAACCAGTTGATGTATTTACGTGCCTAGTTATAGTATACTCTCCATGCATGATAAGTTACACAATAACTCTAGTTATAGTTTTACCGAAAAAAAAAACTCTAGTTATAGTAATTCCTACATGTCCTTATGTACCTACGCTTTTCCATAGCTTCTCTTACCAACCGAGCAAAATCTTTGGGGACTAATAAAGGTTGCCTTGTTTTGGAAAGAAAGATGAATTAAAAAGGATTTTAAAAAAAAAAACCTTGGGAAATAATATATATATACACACAGAATGAGAGTTGAAAATATGAAAAATTCACATTAGATTTATATATATGTAGTAGTGTTAAAATAATGGGATGGGCCAGAAATTGCTATATATATAAATCCTCCCACTTCTTGTTGTAATAACATACTTGAGTTCTGATTGGGCAGTAGTACCATTGCCTAAATTTCATTTTGTAAGCTTTACTCAGTTTCTCTCCATACCCATTTCAACAGCTTCTCCATCTCTCTTTCCATGGATCCTGACATGATGAACATGATGATGCAGCATATGGAGAAGCTTCCGGAGTTCTTTAACACCAATCCCTCTCTCATCGACCAAAACAACAACACCTACCCTTTTCTGTTCAACTCAAACCATAACCACTCTGACTCAATGACCCACGAATCCGGTTTCCGGTACGGTTCTGGTTTACACGCTAACCCAGCCTACTCGTCCATCTCACACGAAAAAATAAACAATATTAGCAACAGCAATAACACGAACATGGCAGCGATGCGAGAGATGATCTTTAGAATCGCCATGATGCAACCAATACATATAGATCCCGAGGCGGTGAAGCCTCCGAAGAGGAGGAACGTTAGGATCTCTAAAGATCCACAGAGTGTGGCTGCCCGGCACCGAAGGGAGAGGATAAGCGAGAGAATTCGGATTTTGCAACGGCTTGTTCCTGGTGGAACTAAGATGGATACAGCTTCGATGCTCGACGAGGCTATTCATTATGTGAAGTTTCTAAAGAAACAAGTGCAGTCGCTGGAGGAGCAAGCTGTGGTTAACGGTGGAGGAGTGGTTATGAAAGGGTGTGGAGCAACAGGGACTACTCATCAGATGGTGGGCAATGCACATATTCTTAGATGATGATGATTCTTAATCATACTATTATTATATTGATGTCTGAGAAAAAAGTGATTCTAGCGAGGGTGAACTTAATTTATAAAAAGTGGAGCTAGGAGTCTTTTTTTTTTGTTTACATTTGGTTTATTGCTTAGATAATCTTGGTAGTGGTTTTAATGTCAAACTCTCCATGGTTTTGGAGTGGGTCGTAAATTAGGGACTACCACCATCATATCTATGTTAATGAATAATTTTAAGCATTAATGATAGATGTTTTCAGCTTTCAGCCTTGTGAATGACATTTAGTTAACATGCTAAATATATGTATTCTTCTTTACTAAATATAAATGTTCATTACAAGAATTGACTTCTTTTCTTTTTGAACATAGAATTGCCTGAGTTCTTGTCAAATTAAAAAGACAACATTCCTTATCATAAGAGGTCCTTAATGTTTCCACTCCTTAACAATCGTTTTAAAATTCTTTCGTCATCTCCAGAAGATAACGTCAAAATCCATTTAATATTCATACTATGTTGGTGTATGATGCAGCTATGCATTAAAACAAAAATTCCATTTTTTATAATATATAGACTAATCCCTATGAAAAAGCTGAATTTTCCATTAAATACTATATATACTATTTAGCATCTTTCGTGTTGTTTAAAAAATATCTAAACGCACTCAAATTTATATATGTTTGCTAAACATATCTTTATGGTACATGGGCATCATGTCTAATTTTCCAATGATTAATTTATTTAACATTCATATATCACTTAATATGTCGATTAACCCCTATAAAAATCCTATTTTATGGAGAAATAGAAACATTTAAGGTCTCAAACTTATTTAATATTCATACTATGGCGGTGTATGATGAAACTATGCATTAAAACAAAAAATCCATTTTCTAATAGTTTTTTTTGAAATATGTGGGATAACCCCTATGAAAAAGCTGGATTTTCTGTTAAATACTATATATGTATTTTATTTAACATCTTTCGTGTTGTTTAAAAAACACCTAAACGCACTCCAAATTTTATATATGTTTGCTAAACATATCTTCATGGTACATTGGCATCATTTCTAATTTTCCAATGATTAATTTATTTAACATTCATATATCACTTAATATGTGGATTAGCCCAAAGAAAAATCATGTTTTCTGGAGAAACGAAAACATTTAAGGTCTCAAACCTATTTAATATTCATAATATGTTGGTGTATGATGCAGTTATGCATTAAAACAAAAATTCTATTTTTTATAATTTTTCTTGAAATATATAGGATAACCCCTATGAAAAAGCTGAATTTTCCGTTAAATACTATATGTACTATTTACCATATTTCGTGTTGTTTAAAAAATACCTAAACGCACTCCAAATTTTATATATGTTGGCTAAACATATCTTTATGGTACATGGGCATCATGTCTAATTTTCCAATGATTAATTTATTTAACATTCATATATCACTTAATATGTCGATT